TTTGTGGTGGTAGCAAAAACGCTTAGCGCTTAGCTCGCGCACATTACAGAGGCCGCAGTATCTTTGGTAGAGAAATGGCTAAGGACAAAGTCTCTTACCTTGCTGGCCAAAAAACAGAGGCGGTCCTAATTAGCAGCCGCAAGAGGGTGGAGAAAGTTAAACTAACAGTTGGCGGTGCCACGATCGAATCAAAGCCGTATGTCAAATACCTTGGCGTCTTACTCGGCCATCGGCTAAACTTCCGGGACCACCTAGAGTATGCCAACAACAAAGCCGCAAAGGCGACTACAACGCTATCTAGAATTATGGCCAATACTAGTGGGCCACGCCAACAATGTAGACAGCTACTAGCAAGCGTAGTGAGAGCAATAACACTATGGATCCACGACATGGTTCCACGCATTCAAACGAGGATCATATGTCCGAGGCATTAACTCCACATATCGTCGATGTGCCGTACGTGTGTGCTCTGCATTTCGAACGGTGTCGGAAGAAGCAGCTCTAGTGATAGCAGGGCTATTTCCCCTTGATATCGCGGCACAAGAGCAACACGAGCTCCATGTGGCAAAACGAGGTCACCCAAACACTGAGTACGTGGACTACAAGAAAGCATCAAGACAACGAGGTATGGAAAAGTGGCAAGCAAGGTGGGATGCAGCCTCAAATGGAAGGTGGACCCATCGGCTCATTCCCAAACTTGACGTATGGTTAAATAGGAAGCACGGCTTGGTAGACTACTACCTCACGCAAATTATTAGCGGCCACGGCTGCTTTAAAAGTTACCTCCATCGTTTTGGACACGAGAAAGATCCGTTTTGCGAAACTTGCGGCCCAGAAACGGAGGAAGAAGCAAAGCACGTGATATTTACTTGTCCATGATTCAGCGATGACCGACGAAGATTAAAGGAAGCTTTGGGTGTTAACGTCGCACCAGAAAACTTAGTCCTGCGAATGATCGAGAGCGAAGAGGCGTGGAAGGCGTGGAAGGCGGTCTGCAGTGTATCAGCAGAAATTATGCAGCAGTTGCGGATAAGCGAACAGCAGCGACGCAGAAACGAAAAAACAACTATTTATGAGCACGATTGAGAGAAATAGAGATTGCGCCCATCGCGGTACTGCTAATCCGCTCTTTGTGAATTTGACAGAATCAGCTGCGTGCGTGACGTGATCTTGGTGCAATTGTTGATTGAGGAAAATCAAATAACGATTTAACTGGGTACGGTTTAGTTATTTGCCCAATGATTTTAGGCTATTGTGCCCAAATGGGTGACCCGATCAAAAAATGTTACACATTTGTAGTTAAGGGTCTACACTTTATTGTAAACCCTAATTTTGTAATTTACGGTCACTAATTGATTAATAAATTCGGTCTGAAAAATGCACTTTTTTGTGAATTTCGGAGTAAGTTCTACGCAAATATACTGTGGATGGCATAGCCAGAGTTATATGCACAATAAACGTTGAATACCTTTCACAATAGAAAGGTGTTCTGCACAAAAATACTGTTTCTCGAGCTTACAATTCCAGTGTCAAAATGCTAATTTTAGACCATTTTCTAATGGTTCCCCAGGGATATGTGGAAGGTTTCGAGGGATCAGGTGTGACTTTTTACGAAGTGCGAACTGTGCTCTTTCTAGTGGGTTAGATATCAAAACCCACTCTCGACTCCGGCGCCATCTGCCACCACCATTTTTTTAAAAACATACTTTACGATGCAGAGCAGAATTTCAAATTCATGTGACGTATGATTCCGAAGTTATGGCTGATTAAAAATTTCACTCCTGTAGGATGTGCCACGCCCTTTTTACAAAAATATATGCACTTTACTATAAGCATCTACCGTAAATATGTATGTCCACACACCAAATTTTAAAGTCATGTGACTTACGGACAGTGCTGCCACACATGGGCTTTTCCTACCAAAACCGGTAGTTTTTTTTTCATTTGGTAGGTTGGTAGGCTTGATTGGATTTTGGTAGGTTCCGTGACAATGAGTAATAGTTATTTGCAAAAAATAAAAAATATGTATCTCCAAACATTTTATCAACCTTTTTTACATGAATATTTCACAGGTGCGTTCGTATAACGGCGGCCGTAAACATGTAAATATACCGGATTTCTAAGTACAAACGTATACCCTCACTAGCTGTACCGTGCCACGCTTTGCCGTGGCATATACTTTTACATAGAAGATCAATGATTAACGAAATAAAGCATACGTTTCATATAAGTTTGAGTTTGTAATAAGTACTTGTGTGCACACAATATTTGTCGTTTTGCTATTCTCTGCATAGATATCAAGGATATCTGGTTTGCCGTCATCCCTGGAAGATCAATCGCGATCAAAAATTAAGAAACATTCTTTCGATAAGTTCTCCTTTCGATGTTTCTAAGTTACAAAATTATCAGGCACTAAAATTCGTCTTAATCTCTCATTGACTGGCACCTTTCCGGTCCCAGTATCCAGTATTCGTCGCGAGAATACCTCGGCTGCAGTGTATGTATGTTCGCCTTGCCACAATGTTGACTATTTCAGGCAAGCATTTATCTCGCCAGCCTGGTGTTAATCGAGAAATTGCAGGCAATGTTTGCGTTAAATCTCCTGAGAGCAACATCAATGCATTCCCGAATGGTTAAACGTTTCCATGCAAATCTTGCGACAATCGATCAAAAACCTCAAGCAAT